GGTCCACCCGAATGCTGACCCCAACGCTGAGTCCCAAGAGCCACCGCCTCCGCTGGACATTGACGGATCGCCAGCTTATAAGGTGAACATGCTGCTGGACTCGAGGCGTAGAGGGGGTCGGCTTCAATACCTGGTGGACTGGGAGGGATACGGACCTGAGGAGAGATCATGGATACCTGCTTCCAATATACTGGACCCCTCACTCATAGAGGAATTTCATCGAGCCAGGCCCGACCGTCCAGCACCACGACCACGGGGACGCCCACGCAGAGCGCCAGGAGTCGCTCCTAGAGGGGGGGGTCCTGTAACACCAAGCCAGCAGAGGGAGCCCTCGCCCGAGTATTGACTGTTAGCACTCCCTCTGCTTTCTCTGCAACCCCTTCCTGTTTAGTGGCCATATTAACCTGGCCACCACATGTCTGCTTTGCGAAGTATTGCCAGTTTATCCTGCCTTACCAAGCATTTGTATCTCTGCCTTCTTGCCACGTGTATGACCTGTTTATCTGTTTGTTTTGACTTCTCTTTTGGATTACCCCTTTTGCCTGTTTGCCTGGTTGGACTGCCTTACTTTTTGACCTCATTGCCTGTTTTTACTGACCCTGAGTTTGGTTTTGTTGGACTGCTTCAATAAACGTCCGCATATGGATTCTTCCTCGGCTTCCGCCTCACCCTCATTACACAGACTACCATTAGGAGGACTCATAGTGCTAAGATCAATTTCTTTGTAAATCTTAGTGTGCCACTAGGATTTCTTCGGGATACATGCAAAACACATTCAAAATTAACCTGCGTTGAAAATTTCTTAAATGTAATTTTAGAAAACCTTGAATCAAACAACACACATTTACATTTAGTCATTTAGCAGACGCTTTTACCCAAAGCGAAGACTACCATTAGGAGGACTCATAGTGCTAAGATCAATTTCTTTGTAAATCTTAGTGTGCCACTAGGATTTCTTCGGGATACATGCAAAACACATTCAAAATTAACCTGCGTTGAAAATTTCTTAAATGTAATTTTAGAAAACCTTGAATCAAACAACACACATTTACATTTAGTCATTTAGCAGACGCTTTTACCCAAAGCGACTTACAAAAGAGGACAATGGAAGCAATCAAAATCAACAAGAGAGCAATGATATACAAGTGTTTTAACAAGCCTCAGTTAGCTTAATGCAGTAAACGTAGCAAGGTTTTTCACACAAAACAATCAGAAACACAAATATTGATAAACGGACTCAAGACACTTTGTGTGTTTTGTTTATTGCAATGTATTTGTTGGTAAGTTTATGGAAGTTCACTGAATTTCTCCAGGGTCTGTCATGAACAAACCTTTGTAAAAATTATTTGTTCACCTGACGAAGATCCAGTGATAAACACGTGTGTGTGTGTGTGTGTGTGTGTGTGTGTGTGTGTGTGTGTGTGTGTACATTGTGTAGCCTATAACGTTCTTCATAAAATAATCAAGTGTTACACCTATGGCTAATTCTGTTCAGTTCTTCTAATTAATTAAACTAATTAGTAGAAATATTTCAACAACATTTCAAAAATACTGTACGTATATAGTGATGAATAATACAGAATCATAAGAATGGCAAACTGGACTGTTAAAAACTATAATACACCTTCATAATACAAGTAATACCTTTTTAAAAGTTCGATGTCATTGTAATATTCCAATATATTTACTCGGTTGCAATGCGGACTGACAACAGGCATGTTTCAGATGGTATCAGAGTTTCTCTTCCTTCTCTGGAGGAGCTGTTCTACATTTTATTAGCTACATTAGCTATTTTAGCGATGAAATCAGGAGCAACACATCTCTAAGAGTTATAAGAGTTGCTTGTAGATTTCCACTTTAGGAGCGACTTTCATGTGTGTGTGTGTGAATACGGCCCATGTTGTTGTTCTTTGACTTGTTTCAACAGAACTACGTGGTCAGAAACTCCACCCAACACTTACCAGGAAGAGACTATCGTGTTATTTTCTCATTCCTCTCATGACTCTGTTCTCTCTTGAAAAAAAGAAAAAGGAATCAGCGATCAGTGAAGAACAAAGAGAAAAACTTTCAAAATGGATGTATGCGAAGTTTGTTTCTTTATGCACAGCAGATCTTCGTGATTCTCTTGATGATTAATTTTTTTAACCATTGAACAGAAAGTGAAAGTAAAGTTCAGACTGCTGGAGCTCAAACAGAGAAAATGGCTTCTCTACATGTGTCTGGAGAAGAGCTTTCTTGTCCCGTATGCAGTGAAATATTCAAGAATCCTGTTCTTCTGTCATGTACTCACAATATCTGTAAAGAGTGTCTTCATCAGTTCTGGAGAACCACAGATACTCAGCAGTGTCCTGTCTGCAGGAGAAGATCCTCAAAACCTGAGCCTCCAGTTAATCTTGCGTTACAAAACCTGTGTGAGTCGCTCCTGAAGGAGAGAAATGAGAGTTGTTCATCAGGATCTGAGGAGATCTGCAGTTTACACAGTGAGAAACTCAAGCTCTTCTGTCTGGAGGACAAACAGCCGGTGTGTGTGGAGTGTGTTACTTCTCAACAACACATCAATCACACATTCAGACCCATCAGTGAAGCTGTTCCATCTGATAAGGTAAGATAGATTTATTTCTGAGGAATAAAGCTTGTCATAAACATACAAACTTCTCTGCACCATTATGCTTATACAGTCGTGGTCAAAATTATTGGCACCCTTGGTAAATATGATCAAAGAAGGCTGTGAAAATAAATGTTAATCCTTTTGATCTTTTATTTTAAAAATTCACATAAATCTAACCTTTCATTGGAGAATAAGAATTTAAAATGGGGGGAAATATCATTATGACATAAATGTTTTTCTATAGTACACATTGGACACAATTAACGGCACCCTTTTATTCAATGCTTTTTGAAACCTCCATTTGCCAGTTTAACAGCTCTGAGTTTTCTCCTATAATGCCTGATGAGGTTAGAGAGCACCTGACAAGAGATCAGAGACCATTCCTTCATCCAGAATCTCTCCAGACCCTTCAGATTCACAGCTTCTCCTCTTCAGTTCACCACACTCATCTTCTAGGGTTCAGGTCAGAGGACTGGAATGGCCATAGCAGAAACTTGGTTTTGTGCTCAGTGACCCATTTTTGTGTTGTTTTTAAGGTTTGTTTTTGGATTATTGTCCGGTTGGAAGAGCCAAACATGGCCCAGTATAAGATTTCTAACAGAGTCATTTTTTAGTACCATCTGACCATAGAAGCCAGTCCCATTTGAAGTTCCAGTCGTGTCTGTTAACTGAATATGCTGGAGTTTGTTTTTGGATGAGAGCATTTTTTTTTCTTGATTTTTTTTTCTTGAAACCCTCCCAAACAACATGTGGTGATGTAGGTGCTGTTTGATTTTTTTTTTTTTTTTTTGGTTTTTTGACCCAGAGACTCAACTATTTTCTGTAATT